CTGTTGTGCCGGTTGCTGCAGTCTCCCCTTCCGCTGTGAACACCACCCAGTTGGGTGATCTTTCGACTCCATCGGCGCTCCATTCCCACTCTTTTCCTTCCTCGAACGCGACGTCTCTGCTGACATGAATTCTGCCGTGTTGAGGGTCGTAGAGGCGATGCGCTTTGCTTCCTTCTTCTACCCCAATATACACCATTGGCGTGCTCCGGTCGTCGAGTTTCTTGTGAGAAGGACCTGCAATCTTCACATGCGCTACACATCCAAAAACTCTCAAGTGTTCTAGATGGGGTTTCTTACCAAACCAAGCTTCGTAGGGTGTGTGGTCGTGCAATGCCTTGGTTGGTAGTCGGTTGAGTATGTACACCGCGTGTCTAACCGCTTCACCCCACATCGTTCCGGGCGTATGCATGCTTTTAAGTAAGCTTCTCGCCATGGCCATCACCGTGCGGTTTCGCCTCTCCACTACACCGTTTTGCTGCGGGGTGTACGGTGCAGTGAGATGACGCTTGATGCCGTAGTCTTCACAAAACTTGGTGAACTCCTTTGATAAAAACTCGCCACCACGATCCGTCCTTAATGTCTTCACCTTGTGGTCACATGCATTCTCAACCTCTGTTTTGAACTTCTTGAAGGTTTCACAAGCTTGACTCTTGGCCTTCAACATGTATACCCACATCCATCGGCTGAAATCATCAACGTAAGAAGGAATAGTTATTCCCAGCAAGTGTAGTATGGGTTGAAGACCCACATACGTCAGCAGTGTAGTAACTCCAGCGGCTCTGAGCTCTAAAATTGCTTGCGAAGGGAACGGCAGTCTTGCTTGCTTGGCGACGAGGTCCTCGCATAGTTGCGTTCGGGTGGCAAGATCTTCGGCCAACGACCGGAAGCCATCCTCTTATAGCATCATCTTGAGGGCGAAGAAATGACATGCTCCAACGGCGACATGGCCATAGCCAGCGGATGTTAATATTCGCCATCACACGCTACGGCTTGCACCGTTTTTAACTTATCCTGACAATCGGTTATTGAACGTGTCACCTGCTCATCAAGAGAGCATCGTTCTATCAAACACCCTCAGAACTCGTCACAATAACAAACCTTACTTTCCCCAATCTTCAGTCACTGCCAAAGGGCTAATAAGTCAGAATTTCAAACGTGGATATAATATACCTCAGGTAGTCAGCCTTGATCGCCGTTGTGCACTGAAAGAGAAGAGCCTTTCCCCTTGATCTCCTACCTGCGGACATCACCAACTTGAAGGCCTTGCAGTTCTCGTCGAGCTCCTTGAACTTGCTCGGTGGCCGTCAGGTGATGCCTAGCGCTCGTTGTCAAGGTACCACCCAGTGTTGTTGTCAAACATCGCTCCCCCGCGTAAGAAATCGGCAATCACCTCTCCCATAAGCAAAATGACACTGACGATTCCTCTAACATAGCCACAATCAAGTTTCCTCGTCATAGCACGGGTGAGGAGAGCCTCTGTTCATTAATGCGGCGTGCTTGTCGACACTCCGACTGAAAGTGCCGCGTATACTTCCGCAATTGAAGCATTTGATGTTGGATTTGTCTCGACACCGGCTTGTGCTACTCTCCCCTCACTGGCGAGCTGCAGCCTCATGCGACAACCACCTCACTGGAACGTCCTCCTCGCCGGCTGCCTCGGCCTCTGGCGCCGTGCTCTCGTCTCCTCGCGGCCATGCCTGGGCAGCGTGGTGCTGCTGCCGCTGGCCGTGGTGCGGCTGCCGACCTCGGCCTCTTTGCCACGGCCACGTCCGCCTGACCGGGCTCCTCGGACCGCGACCTCGTCCGCCACCATCATTTGTTGTAGGTGTTGAGAGGAAGCCTCCGCCGTTCTTCTTGCTCCTTGCTTGCCACTCCGCATGCGTCAACAATAGGTGATCGTCGACGTTGTTTCGAAAAACACGTGCCCTCTCCTCGTGGGCTTTGAGACGCCCGATCGCCTCCTCGAGTGTCATGTCGTCGATGTCCCCGAACTGTTCAATCGTGGAGACGATAGTAAGGAATCTCTCCGGTACCGCTCGAAGTAGCTTTCTGACGACGTAGTTCTCCTCCATCTCGCCACCTAAAGCCCGGATCTTGTTGACGACTCCTGTCAACTTCGTCGAAAAATCGTCGACATTGTCATTCTCCTTCATCCGGAGAAGTTCGAACTCGGACTTCAAGGTCTGCACCTTCGCGTTCCTCACACGATCCGCTCCTAGATGCATTGTTTTCAACGTCTCCCATGCCTCTTTTGCCGTTTGCTTCTCTGCGATCACCATCAAAGTCTCTTCAGGAATCCCCTGGTAGATGGCCGCCAACGCCATCTGATCCTTCCTGTGTTCCACGGACGCGCCTGCCGCGGGCTCAATGGCATCCCACACGTCTTGAGCCTTCATGTAGACTTTCATCTTGATCGCCCACGAAGCATAGTTGTCCCTATCGGCCCAAGTACACAACCTGTAAGCTCTAAACAAAACCTGTAAAACAATGATTTCTGGGAGACCGGACAGCAGCAAAGAAAACAGAGAAAGAAGGCTCTGTTTTTGGTTGATGAACCCGATTTGTAAAGGAGCAGGAACAAAATATTGGAGCAGGAAACTCTTGTGATTTCTTTATTCACGTTTTTTTCTAAACTCATCAATTGTTTACATATATATAAAGACATAGGGATAAGATTACAACTCTAATCTTTATCCAATAACTAGAAAAAACTATCCACTAACTAGTATTCTATTCTAACTAGAATTCTATCTACTAACTTGAACTCAACTAACAATCCGGACTGATTAACAACTCACATGGCTGCCCTATTTGCTATCGAAATGGTTACTTCAGGTGATCTTTTGTACCAGATGCCAATGTAGTAGTTATTGGATTTGCCTGGGTTGAAGAAGCCAAGTTCAAAGACGCCTCCTTTGGAGACTATGGTTTGGTTTCCAGATATGGATTGGCCTTAGGAGATCGTATCAGGTTCCAAAGTGAGAACCATATTAAGTGAGAGGAGAAGAAGAAAATGGTGAACTGGGAAGAAATAAGGGGATTTTGAGAACATTTTGCGAGATGAATGCATAGAGAAAAAATGTTTGTTTGTAACATCCTGAAGGCTTGCGAACAGGGAGATAAATAATGTAGGTAAAATTTACTTGAAGTCAGTACTTGTCAGTTAAATCAGAGGTCACAGATTTTCTTCTACTTTGTTCTCTAGCCTGTGGCTGCTAACAAATGAGCGTGTTTCCTGCTATATAGCATGGTTACTTCTGTCATTGAAGTGCATCGTGCCAAACACCTCGCATATTTTATATGTATTTTTCTTCTGTTGTTTGGCGTGTTGTTTCCATTTTTGGACGAAGGAACTCAAAATTGTTGGGAATTCTTGATTGTAGGTGAGACGATAGATAGTCCACTTCTTAGTGACAGCTGTCCGTTGTAAATGTCTCCGTGTCATCACAATAATGAGGACAGGACTCCAACTGATCGATGCCCCTGTCTTTCACTTACTTTTTAGCAGGGTGCCTCCTGAAACCAATCAATGTAGTACGACTGAACAGGCTGACTAGCCTTTTCGAGACCCGATCTTTCCTTTGAGGCTGGTGGACCATACGGGCATTTCCCATTTATTTATGTAGGTAGGAACTCCTGGGACAGAAAAATGAAAAAAAACGGATGCAAAGTCAATGTAGCGCGTGCCAGCATTCACTGGTGGAAGGACTGGCAGCAGCGAGAGCATCATAGTTGACATGGTTGGAGCTACAGTCCCAATATCCGTCGAAGATTTTAATAAGGGGAATAAGGCTATTGATGGGGATGGACCATATATACATACTTCAACTTCATCTTGCTTCTTTTAAAGGTCCATTTGCTTCCTTGCTTTCAAAAGGGCTGTTTTCATGCTATCTGATGATTCTAATAAGAAGGTAAGTCACATTCCCCTGAATGAACGGAAATAACCTCAGTCTCGTCTTGGAATTCCAATTTGTTGAACGTTACTTATAAGGTCCTGTTCTATAATCTGGTTTGATCTTGTAGTCCAAATAATTCCGTACCATGAGGAACTTAATTTTTGTCATATTTCTAGTCCTAGTTATCTCTAGAAACTTTCCATATTTACAAGGTTACTTTAGTGTGTTCTAAAATTACACATTATCTTCTAGCATCCCTCCTTAATTTATAATTCCTAACTCATTTCTTAATAGTATAAACATTTTGGAGGGTAATGCTTTTGTAAAGATGTCTGCTAGCTGCTCATTTGTTGAGATGAACTCTAGCTCGATCTCCTTATCTTCAACGAACTTTCTGATGAAATGATGACGAATCTCAGTATGTTTGGTTTTGCCATGGAAGATTGGATTCTTTGTCATGGCTATTGCAGACTTGTTGTCACAGTAGAGAGTAGTCGATGACTCTTGGTCTTATTGTAAATCAAATAAAATCCTTCAAAGCTATACTGCTTCGTATGCAGTATTTGTAGCTGAGATATACTCTGCTTCTGCAGATGAGAGAGCTATGATGTGTTGTTTATTTGAGGTCTAGGATATTACCTTAGATCCCAAAGTGAAGACATATCCTGAAGTTCTTTTGCGATCATCAATACATTCAGCTCAGTCACTGTCAGTGTAGCCAGATAATGCATCGTCTTCTTTTGTTGTGTATTTTATTTCTATCCTCTTTGTACCTTGAAGATATCAAAGAATCTGCTTCACTGCTCCATAGTGTAGCTTACTTGGATTACTCATGAGTTTGGACACAATGCTTACAGCATACAATATGTCCGGCCTTGTATTTGTGAGGTAGATTAGCGATCTGACTAGGCTTCTGTAACTTGAGGCATCCACCTTTGATGCTCCATCATTCATTGATAGCTCTTCATTTAGCAATGCTAGTGTAGCTACTGGATTGCAATTCTTCATGTTGAACTTCTTCAGAAGATTTTCGCAGTACTTCTCTTGATTGATGAATATTTCTCCTTTAGTTGTTTTACTTGTATTCCCAGAAAATATCTAATCAATCCTAAATCTGTCATCTCAAAATCTTCTTTCATCTTCCTTTTAAATTCTTCAATCATCATGGTGTTAATGCCACAATAAATTAAATCATCAACATATAGGCAAACGATAAGGAAGTCCACACCTTTTTTCTTCACATATAGAGACGGTTCACTTGGGCTCCTTTGAAATCCATGCTTGTGGAAGTAGTTATCAATTTTACTATTCCAAGCCCGCGATGCTTGCTTCAACCCGTATAGTGCTTTGTGCAGCCGATAAACTTTGTTTTCTTTTCTCTTAACTATGTAGCCCTGTGGTTGCTCAACATAGACTTCCTCTTCGAGTTCTTTATTTAGGAATGCTAACTTAACATCTAGCTGAAACACTTTGAGCTTGTGCTGAGTAGCTATAGCCAATATTGTCCTTATGGTCTGCATACGAGCAACTAGGGAAAATGTCTCATTGAAGTCGACACTTGGTTGCTAAGAGTAACCTTCGCGACTAATCGAGCCTTGAGTTTTTGAACGGAACCATCTTCATTGTACTTGGTTTTGTATATCCACTTAAGGCCAATGATCTCTTTTTCTTCTGGAAGATTCACCAGCTCCTATGTCTTGTTATTCTCGATCATGTATATTTCTTCATCCATTGCTTTTCTCCAACCTTCATCTTGAACACCTTCTTTAAAATTTTGTGATTCACAGGAGAAGAATGCTACATCGCATGAGTCATAACTATCTTGAAGTGAACGCACCTTTCTCGGCAGTGAATATGTGTCTAAAGTTGATGCATATGGGGATCTTGGACTAGGAGAATCTTGATATGACGTGGCTCCCCTCTTTTCTTCTTCAATGATACTTGGTGTTGAGGTTTGATGTGGTTCCATGTTCTTGCGTCATTGAAGATAACATCTCTGGAGACTACCAATTTGTTAGTATCGAGATTATATAGTCTATAGGCTTTGGATTCTTCACTGTAGCCAATAAAGATGAGTTTTTCTCCTTTTTCATCAAACTTTTCCTTTCTTAGCTGTGTTGGTTTATGTGCATAGGCAATACAACCAAATACCTTAAAGAAATCCACTTTCGCCTTTTGCCTATATCAAGCTTCATATGACGTCTTGTTTGGTACAGCTTTTGTTGGTGATCTACTCAAGATGTAGACTGCTATATATATCGCCTTAGCCCATAGTTTGTTTGGGAGATTTTTGCCTTTTAACATGCTACTCGCCATCTCCACAATTGATTTATTTCTTCTTTCTGCTACTTCATTTTGTTGTGGAGTGTATCTTGTTGTTAGCTCCTTTTTAATTCCATGATTTTTGCAGAAATTTTGAAATTCATTGGAGGTGAACTCTCCTTTATGACCAGTTCTTAGAACTTTCAATTTGTGGTCACTTTGCTTTTCTACAAGAGCGTTAAACTCAATAAACTTTGAGAATACTTCTGATTTTGCTTTTAAGAAATATACCCACATCATTCTGCTATAATCATCAACAAATAACAAGAAATATCTTCTTTCATTTAATGATGGGGTTTGTGTTGGGCCACAAACATCAGAATGCACCAATTCTAACGGAAATTTTGCTCTCCAAGATGTTTTAGTAAATGGTAAGCGGTGCATTTTTCCATAAATACATCATTCACAAACTTTTTCTTCTCTATTTATGTGTGGGATTCCTATCACCATATTCTTTATTTTTAGCAAATTTAGACTCTTGAAGTATAAGTGGCCGTACCTTTGATGCCATAATAGAGAATAATTATTTTCTTCTGATTTGAGTGCAAGATTCTCTATATATATATTTTTAGGGAAACAACTTTTGTTAGGAGCTATATATTTTTATTCTGGCCACTATTTTCTTATTCTTATCATCTATTATCATACATTCATTCTTAAAGAAATTGATTGCATATCCTTTTTGGATTAATTGTCTCACATTAAGTAAATTTTGAGTTAGCCCCGGAACATAAAGAACATCTGAAATGTATTTAGTCTTACCTCCCTTCGTCTAGACTGCTATCACTCCCTTTTCTTTAATATTTTTTTATTTTCCATCTCCAAGCTTTATTTGAGAGGTTGCTCCATCCTTCAGCTGTACAAAGCTGCTCTTATTTCCTGTCATATGATTGCTGCATCCACGATCCAAATACGAAGTATCTTTTTCTTCTAATTGTCTTAATACATGAATAAAATAGGTGATCAGTTTCTACTTCTGTATAGTGGACTTCATTATTTTTCTGATACTAACAATCTTTTTGGGAGTGATTAGCATTTCTAAAGTTTGTGCATTTAAATTTATAGTTATATGTGTTATGTCCAGACTTACTATAGATTTTACAATAGGAGGTGGACTTACCATTTGAGAAATCTTTGTCTCTCTCATTCATTCTTCCTTGTCTCCCAAACTTTCTTTCATGGTAGTTGCCTCTTCCATCTTGTGCTTTTCGAAAAAATCTTTTTTTTTGTACATTTTCTTTAGTTCCATCTCCTCCTTTTCTTGAAAATGTTAGTTTTAATTAGAACGCTTGCTCCACCTCTTGGCTTGAAGATCTGCTTCTTCTAAGCTCACGTGACTCCAAAGAAGCCATTAATTCATAAAAACTTAGTTTTGATAAATCTTTAGATTCTTCTATGGCAGCAACAATATAATCCCATGTAGGGGGAAGACTTCTTAATCTCTTCTCAACAATCTTCTTATCCTCTATTTTATCCCCATACCTTTTTATTTGATTAATAATTAAGGTAACTCTATCAGAAAATTCTTTCACGGATTCATTATCTTTCATCTTTATGTTGTCAAAGCCTCTCCATAAAGATTGTAGCTTGATAGAGATTACCTTATCGGAGTCCTTGAATTCTTGTTTGAGTATATTTCATACATCCTTTGATTTTGACGCGGACATTATTCGGGGAAAGATTGCTTTGCTTACCCCTTGTTGGATAAAGAGAAGCACCTTCGCATCCTTTTTATTATTCTCTTTATACTCCTTTTGCTTTACAGGTGCCCATGACGCTAACACTACCGAGTCATCTGGACCCTTATAGCCTTCTTCGACAAGCTCCTAAAGTTCTTGAGAGATGAAGAGTGTCTTCATTTGGAGTCTCTAGAAGTCATAGTTTTCGCCGTCGAAAATGGGGACTAAGTTTTGAGAGTAGTTGAAAAGAGAAGGGGCAATTGGTGATGAGGCTGCCATTTAGAATGGTAATGAAAGGCTAAAGGCTTTCAAGATTGATTTAAGGTGGAATAGGATGGCTGTGGTACCAAATTTGTTGGAGCTGCAGAAGTTAGATGGGTAATTGATATTAGTTTTAGAAGATTGAGAATGGAGGAAGTAGAAGGGAAATGAAAGGTTGGAAGGGAAGAGGTTAGCTTGAAGAAACTTTATTTTAATTGCTTCAAAGCTTGTTCTCAATGCTTACATCAATTGCCTATTTATAGGCATATATAGAACTATATAGAGCATTTATATTTTTCATGGAACATTCTAGAGTATATTATAATATTTCTATATTCTAGATATATCTTACTTTTGTCATATTTCTAGTCCTAGTTATCTCTAGAATCTTTCCATATTACAAGGTTATTGTAGAGTGTTCTAGAATTACAAATTATCTTCTAACAAAAAGAACTAGTGTCACCTGTTTCTGTTCTTTTCCCCTAATTAATTTTTTTTAAAAATCTATGGTTGTAGCTTCATTGAGAATGATTAGAATCAAACTTAACACCTCTTAGAAGGGTAATATTTCATCATTTTCATTGTCCATTTGTGGATAATTCACCTGGTTTTATCACATAAGTTTCTGGATTATGACTGCTGCTTACATAAACTTATGTATCGGTAGGATTATGATTTTGACATAAGAGAGGCCTAGGCACTGTAAGGCCCACACGAGGATTTATTAGCACACTGGTAGAAAGCACTGTTGATAATTCTGCCACTTGATTTTCTGATATTTTTCCTTTATTTTTGTATAAATAATTAATATTGAGTCACAGTTAATCACATCTTCAACATGGGGAGTAACAACAATCAACAGAAGAAGATTATGTATTAATGGTTCAGTGAGGGTCCATATTGACTATATACAGAAATACTTTTAAGGAAGGCATAAAATCAAGAAGTTATGTTTTTTAGAAGTAAATTAGTTAATATCAGAGTTTTGGTGCACCAGAAAAGACTTTTAAGTAGAGCAACGCATCAAATTTGGATTTTTGATGCGGTGAAAGTTGCCATTAGAAAAATTACTACCTTAGCAACAAGAAGCCCATTAAATTCGCGCTCTTATTTCTCTCTCATGTTTTCCCCTCTGTAAGATGATAGAATTCTATGTTACAATGGATGGGTGTACTTCAGTTTTGTATGGGGACCTTGTTACTCATAGTCTATAATTCACGATAGAATACATGATAATATATCGAAAGTTTATATCGTGAATTAAGTCGAAAGTTTATATCAACTACATAGAATTCACGCTGTTAAATAAGTCGAAAGTTTATATCGAAAATGTATCGTGAATATATCGTGAATTAAGTCGAAAACATAGAATTCTTATGCCCTGCAAGTCACTGTAACTATCGAAGAATTCACGATAATATATCGTTAATTAAGTCAAAAGTTTATATCGAAAGTTTATATCGACAACATAGAATTCACGCTGTTAAATAAAATATAAAGTCGTTCATTTGGTTACATGTCAAATACTATTCGTTCGTACCCACTACATAAGTAGTGACAACAGACACTCCAATTAACGCCTTTATCTTCTTCATGATTGCTTTCTCTTCTCTACGCTAATTTAATTTCATGCGGAAAGTAGGGCTCATAAGAACTGGAACCTAACTTATAACGTTGATCCTTCAATACAAATGATGGAATTCTACTAGTGGAAACAAAAGAGGAGAGAGGAGGGGGAGCACATAATCCAAATAGAGGTATAAAATGATTAAAATTCAGCCATAGAGCAAGAGCTAAGAGAAGACTCAATAGAAATATAAATAGTTGCAACCTACAATTGATCTCCAAAAGAAAAAGATTACCATGTAACACAAGCCTGCCACCCTTTTTCTGTACCTTAATTCTGATATAGGGTATATTTGGAGGCCTATTTAAAACCACACTCAATATATATTTCTAATTTGCAACTACCAACATGATGATACGTACATTAGCACACAGTAAGAATTTTCTGATACATGAGAGCACATTTGAGTGATTACTCATTGTAACTAAGTACAGAAACTTCCTCAGCAAGACGTTGAAGAATTGTAGGAAACGGAGGCATCTTCAGATCTAAAACCCCTTCCAAGTTTTTGACAACTTCAGCCATCGATGGCCTATCTGCCTCAAAATCTTGAATGCACCAGCAAGCAACTCTGCAGACTCTGTTCAGCTCCGAAGCATCCGCAGAACCATTCAAATCCTCATCTAGTAAGCTAAGAACTTCCCCTGTGATGACTTTGCTCGCAGCCTGAACAGGAAAATACCTGATGGTCCCTCCTTCAGCCAATTTTGAGTTTCTTCTACCAGATACTATTTCAAATAGCATCATACCATAGCTATAGACATCTGCTTTGGGTGTTATTGGTAGCCCTTCGATCCATTCTGGTGCTAGATAGCCTATAGTTCCCCTCATCGTTGTTAGTACTCGGCTGAAGTCATGGCCAATGAGCTTTGCCATTCCAAAGTCTGATAATTTTGGACAGAATTCAGTATCTAATAGAATGTTTTCTGGTTTTATATCACAGTGGATGATGCATTCTCTACATTCTTCATGGAGATATGCCAATCCCCTGGCAGTGCCTAGTATGATCTGATATCTAGTCTTCCAGTCTAAATTCTTGGATTGTTTTTGAAAGAGGTGGTGATCCAAAGATCCCATTGGCATGTAATCATAAACCAGAATCTTCTCAGTTCCCTCACAGCAGAAGGTGGTGATCCAAAGATCCCATTGGCATGTAATCATAAACCAGAATCTTCTCAGTTCCCTCACAGCAGAAGCCGCGTAGACGGACTAGATTAACATGCTGAATTCTGCCCAATGTTCCTAATTCATTTCGGAACTCCTTCTCTCCTTGACGAACCCCTTCTAGTCTTTTCACAGCTACAAACTCTGAATTAGATAGAATTCCTTTGAATACCAAACCGAATCCTCCTCCACCAAGCTTTTCTGAAAAGTTCTTTGTCATGCGCCGCAATTCATTGTAAGTAAATGACACCAAAGGACCTTCAGGGAATGTTGATGTCCCACGACCCTTGCTTCGCCATATCCATATCAATGCCATAAGGGTTAACAAAACTATTGCTACTGTTGCACTTAGAGCAATTTTTATGATTAATTTCCTTTTCCCTGGCCGTGGCAGGTCAGAAGCTGCCAGCCTCAGGTAAAGAGTACTGGATCCGTTTTCGCCTTCGGATAGAATTTTAAGATTTTGGATGTCTCCATACCAAATTGAGCACCCATTTCCATGAGAATAAGCAGTGCACGAGCAATTATTCAAACAAGCTACTTCACATTCTTCAGCGCTTGTTGTTGCTAAAGGCTGTGAATCTGCCGGCAAGAGCAGATTGGGTATGGCCAAAAATCCATCCTTTTCCCCGGTGGTCGAGTTCCTATCACTGCACTGCAAGTGAGTTTTCCTTGAACACCCTGAACTCCAGTCTTCTAACTCCCAGTCTCTCATAGAAGTCGGACTGAAGCCACTCGGACAGCTGCATACTGGCGTGTCTCCATGGTCACACATACCAAAAGTGCCACAGACTGAGTAAATATCACAAAGAGAAAGTGGCTGAGCCCAGGCCAGCACCCATCCTTGTTCATCATTAAACCATATCCACTGTTGCACTTGCCCAGACGAGTGCATCAAAGTCCGTCCCAATATCCCATCGGAGAGGTTGTAGCTGAAATAACTACTCTCGTTGTTATCGACAAATTCGAAGCTGACGATATTGTACCCGTCCATTTCAGGCATCAAGGTAAAGGACTTTCCAGTCCATACTCCACTTCGCCAATAGCTTCTCGATTTGTTCCATTGTAAAATAAGCTGGTGGATGCCACTCGGGTCTATAGTGTCGGTGAAAAGCCCAGGAGATGGATCCTCGGTGTTCCTCCATGAAGTAAGGCTTTGATATTCCCCAGTGACTTTATTCACAGTGACCCATCCATTGGGCAGGCATGTATCGGCCGGATGATCAAAACTCTGCCACAGTATAATAGACGAATTCGATTGGTCTCTGAGAACTAGATTACCTGTATCAAGAAGCGCCGCAATGATAGAAATGGAGGAAGAAGATGATGCTGATGTTGTGTTTGATGACCAAACTGGGAGCTTGGAATGAGAGAGGACTAGATTGCCATCTTTGGCCAGCTTCAGTTCAGAAGTTGCAGGATTGGGTACTGGTTTTTCTCTGTTTGCTACCCATACAACTGTTTGTGTAGGGATCTTTTTGTACCAGATGCCAATGTAGTAGTTGTTGGATTTGCCTGGGGTGAAGAAGCCAAGTTCGAAGACGCCTCCTTTGGAGACTATGGTTTGGTTTCCAGAGATGGATTGGCCTTGGGAGATTGTATCAGTTGCAGAGGAGAGCATTATTATTGCATTCAGTGAGATTAGAAGAAAATGGAGAATTAGTGAGAAAGAGGGGGATTTGGTGAACATTTTAGGAGAAGAATGCCACAGTGATACCCTGAAGGTAGGTTTTCATGCAACGAGATACATATAAAGCATGTAAAAAAAGTTTTACTTGAAATCAGGGTCTCTGGTTTGTGTACGTTGACAGTTTATCAGAGACCTCAGATTTTCCTCCTCCTCTGCTCTCAGGCTTGTGGATATCAAAATAGTTGGAAAATTCATGATTGCAGTATGCACATCTTGAAGTCATCTCCATAAGGGAACTTTACGCTGGCAGTGATAATGTTTGACTTAGTAATACAAGGAGCCAGAACTTCATTTTCTTTACCTAGCATTAGAGTTGTGCACCGGTTGAGAGCTTTGCCAGCTAAAAGTCGATATGACTGGTTGAAAAGATCTTTGCCATCAAGAGCGAGAGAGAGTGGTTTACAAGTCGTAGCAAGTCTTTGTATAGCATCATCAAAATGACATAAATTGACTCCTGCCGTAATGCCTGCGGCATTGGAGATTTTTTTTACCACGTACTAAATATGAGGTCTTAAAACTGAAGAATCTTTCCTTTCTTTGCTAAATTTCTCAGAAATCATACTTCTGTTGGAAACGGCGAAAAATTGTTGAAAAAGACGTGGAACAGGAAAAACTCTGGTCGGTCGACTGATATAATGCATCAGTCGACCGATAACGTGCACACTACAGGAACTGAAAAACGTCGCACTGGATAGTCGACCGATGAAGGCTTATCGGTCAACCGATGAAGACCTACCGGTCGACTGATGTCTTCCTATCAGCCGACCGATAGCGGGTTGAACGGGTAAACCGTTTCCCAGTCTATTTTGGTTTAGGGTGTTATATATTTAGAAGTGCGTACGAGTTTTTATAGAGAGTGGTTATCAGAGAAAAGAGAGTTGTTTGAGCACTTTGAGAGGGAGATTCTTTGAGGGTGAGCGAGATATGGTTGGTTAGGGTTATTGTGATTGTTTGAGAGTTGTAACCCATTGTATTTCTCCTCCATATAGTGAAATCTCCCCATCCTCTCCCCATGAACGTAGGCAACTTGCCGAACCACATATACCTCTGTGTTTGTGATTGATTTTGGTTGTTCTATTGTGGATTGTGCTCGTTGTGTTCTTCGTTCGTTGCTTACCGACTTGTTGTGGATTGAGTCCGCTTCCGCTGGACGCAACAACTTCGACATTTTCTTTCGTAGGTAAAATATAGTGACTGATTTGTTCATGCTGATACCCAATATATACAAGTTTTTTAAGCTCCCGATTTCAAATGGTATTGGCCGTGACAGTGAATTGGATGCCAAACTTAAAAGATATCGAAAGTCCGAATATGTAGAATATTTCTTTGGGTATATTACCCGTAAGTTTGTTAGATCCAAGATTTAGATATATTAGGTTCTGGCACTTTCCAAGACTTACTGGTATATTTCCGCTTAGGGCCTGTTTGTTTGCACGAAAGTAATTATGAAGTAGCTGAAGTAAAAGAAGTAAAGGCTACTTCTGCTATTTCTAAGCAAAAAAAAAACATGTTTGGTTTTTTGAAAAACTTACTTCCATTACTTTCTTAAATGCTTGTTGTTCGGACAAACCCGGGGCCCAATAGAGCAGGGTCGCAGCAATAGTAAAGCAAAAGTAGAGATAAAATGATAGACACACAGATTTACGTGGTTCGGCACTTGATTGCCTACGTCCACGGGCAAGGATAGAAGAATCTACTATGAGGAGAAAACTCTGGAGTTACAATCTCTCTTTATAAGGAGATACTCTCTCTATTTTTTTCTCTCACACTCTTCTATATAAGAAGAAGTTTCTGGGATGATATTTTCTTAAGGATTTGGAGCCCTATTTATAGTTTTTAGAAAAATATTATGCACAATAAAATATTAATATTTTACTGAAGCAGTGGGGCCCACTGTTTTGTTTTCTTCTCAAATTTTCAAAGATGGCTGCTGCTTTTTCTTGATTATCAACATGTGGGCGGCTTGGGCTCTGACAATCTCCCACTTGAAGATTTGATTGAGTATCAATCATATCTTCACACTATTCTTTCTATCTTGCCTTCTTCATGTTGCTTACGTCTCCATCAGACCACAAGAGGATCGACACCAAATAAATTTGTCAGTACTGACTGCTTTGGTCAAAAAATCTGCTAGGTTGTCTTTGGTGTGAATTTTCTGCATATCCACTGTTCCTTCTTCCACTTTCTCACGAACGAAGTGATACTGAACTCGAATGTGCTTGGTCTTTGAATGAAAGGCTGGATTTCTTGCCAAATGCAAAGCACTCTGACTGTCACAAAATAGAGAAATCTTCTTTTGTTCATAGCCGAGTTCCTCCAGCACCATCTTCAACCACATCGCTTCTTTACTAGCTTGTGTAGCTGCTACATACTCTGCTTCTGTTGTTGAAGTAGCCACAACTGACTGCAGTTTTGAAACCCAGCTTACAGCTCCGCCAGTAAGTGGAAACACATAATCTGTGGTGGATTTTCTATTATCACGATCACCTGCAATCAGAATCAACATATCTACTGACAATAAAATGAGACCCCCCATAAATTTATAGGGGGTTACGGGTGGTAACTGCCCCCTTAATTTGCTCCTCAATGGGCTGAGTGGGGTGTAACCGCCCCCCTCTTAAATAGCTCCCCAAATAGTGGGGAAAACGGTTTTGAAACCGTTCTGTTAGTGCTTTGAACGAGTCAAAACGCTGAAAACAGCGTTTTGGGCCCGAACTATGCGTTTTTGGACCTGAAACGCAGAGTTAGGCCTGAAAACGTACAGTTGGGCCTGTTTAAAGGCTGAAAACGCACAGTTCGTGCTGTTTTGGAGATGAACTCTGCGTTTTAGGATGAAAACGCAGAGTTGGGCCTGTTTAAAGGCTGAAAACGCACAGTTCGTGCTGTTTTATAGATGAACTCTGCGTTTTAGGATGAAAACGCAGAGTTGAGCCTGTTTAAAGGCTGAAAACGCACAGTTCGTGCTGTTTTAGAGATTAACTCTGCGTTTTGATGTTGAAAACGCAGAGTTCGACTTGTGCGCTTTGACTCTGTAATGCAGAGGCGAACCTTAGGTGGGCTTGGCGAGCTTCAGACTGAGTTCAATGTTCTGACGAAGTCCAGTCTTGCAGACGGACTTCAGAACATAACTTGCTACGAAGAACAGGTCATAACTTTCAAACCGTACGTCGGAATTGGACGAATTATATATGAAAATCGGCTATCTCGACGAGACGGGGCCATCCGAACCCAGCCGAAGGCTTCGGTTCGCTTCCTCCGTTTCGCCAAATTCCTTACGGTTTGAGAGATATCTGCATTCTAATATGAAGAGACCGTCAATTTGTAGTCTCTTTTGCTAGAGCTTTGCACAGATCGTCCTCTTGTAATCTTCGTCTTGGCTCCTTGAGAATATGAGAGTCGTCAGATTGTAACTCCCGATGTTGATTATGAATGCTGTTGAATTAGAGCTTTTATTAGTTGTTGTGAAGGTCGTCAGATTGTAACCTTCTACGTGAAAGTCCTCGAATTGTAGCCTTCTGGAAGTTGTCAGATTGTAACTTCCATCATCGGTGTTTGATGAGGGATCAACTATCTATTGTGATTTTTAGACAGCCTACAATACATAAGTTAAGTTTTGGTTTCTATATATATTTAGTTATATATATACATACATGGTCTTTGAGTTTTCAAGTTTTAATATGAAACAATTGAATACAATTGAAAATACATTTCTTGTTTCATACTTATATGCATATATATGATTTCATCAATATCAATTTTATATAGTTCAATGAAATCATGTTTTAGTGCATTATATGTGTATTTTGATAAAATACTATATTCATTGTTTATAGACTTCATAACAATAGTTTACATCTTTCTTCAAGTCTATAAAATCATTTTGCAAAGTTTCAAAAGTTGGTTTAGGTCAAAACATCAAACTGAAAACGCACAGTTGACCTGTTTAAAGGCTGAAAACGCACAGTTTGTGCTGTTTCAGAGATGAACTGTGCGTTTTAGGCTGAAAACGCAGAGTTGGGCCTGTTTAAAGGCTGAAAACGCACAGTTGTGCTGTTTTAGAGATTAACTCTGCGTTTCTAGACTGAAAACGCAGAGTTGAGCCTGTTTAAAGGCTGAAAACGCACAGTTGTGCTGTTTTAAAGATTAACTCTGCGTTTCTAGATTGAAAACGCAGAGTTGAGCCTGTTTAAAGGCTGAAAACGCACAGTTGTGCTGTTTTAGCGATTAACTCTGCGTTTTGATGTTGAAAACGCAGAGTTAAGCCTGGGCGTTTTGACTCTGTAATGCAGAGGCGAACCTTAAGCGGGCTTGGCGAGCTTCAGGCTAAGTCCAATGTTCTGACGAAGTCCAGTCTTGCAGACGGACTTCAGAACATAATTTGCTGCGAAGAACAGGTCATAACTTTCAAACCGTACGTCGGAATTGGACGAATTACATATGAAAATCGGCTATCTCGACGAGACGGGGCCATCCGAACCTAGCCGAAGGCTTCGGTTCGCTTCCTCCGTTTTGCCAAATTCCTTACGGTTTGAGAGATATCTGCATTCTAATATGAAGAGACCGTCAATTTGTAGTCTCTTTTGCTAGAGCTTTGCACAGATCGTCCTCTTGTAATCTTCGTCTTGGCTCCTTGAAAATATGAGAGTCGTCAGATTGTAACTCCCGATGTTGATTGTGAAGGCTGTTGAATTGGGGCCTTCATTAGTTGTTGTGAAGGTCGTCAGATTGTAACCTTCTGGAAGTCGTCAGCTTGTAACTTCCATCATCGGTGTTTGATGGGGGATCAACTATCTATTGTGATTTTTAGACAGCCTACAGAACCCCCTCCAAAGTTTTCGAAAGTTCGCGGTTGACTGGGACGAATTTTCGGAATACTTTGGATCTCAACTCTGATCTTGGAGCTGTTGATTCCTTGTGGTAAAGGATTTGTTCTCTGCACTTGCTTCGAAGGCATCTTGGTTGAAGGGATTTGTCACATAGGGCCTGTGTGAAGGTATGCGCCATAATCCTGCTTCTGGAATGTGGGGGTGGACCCTGCATTTTGAACTTGAGATGCGGGTTTCACCCTTGCATGTTGAATTTGGAATGCGGGTGTGACCTCGGCGTTCGGTTTTTGCATCGCGGGTCTGACCTCAACGTTTTAACTTAAGCCATGGGAGCGGCTTCCGTGCATTTTTGACTAAGTCTTTGAGACTTGTCTTTGGCGCATCTGTTTTAAGTCTCGACTCACATCTATTAAGCTGATAGGCCTGCAAACGTGCGTAGGATTTTTGGCAAACCCTCAGCCATCAACGGATTTGATAAGCCTTTACCGACTACCGTTTGAGTCGGGCTAGCATGTGAATCATCTAGGTCCGTTCCACATGTAACGTTGTGCTAAGAGAATGAACTCTCTTAGTCTTGATGCTATGATTTTGAATACATAGACTTTGTCATTTTGACGGGAAAAGACTAACCGACAACGCGTGTTAGGTGTAGACTTATCTCTATTTAGGGATCGAGATAAAGTCCCCCATGCGTGTGAGGCATGGATTTTGATGTCCTTTTCACGGTAAAAGACTAACCGGCAACGTGTGTTAGACATTGACTTATCCCTACTTAGGATTCAGGATAAAATTCCCCATGCGTGTAAGGCATGGATTTTGGCGTTATTAATAATGACCTGCTACGATATTGAATACGTAGGCTTTGCTATTATTACGGGAATAGGCTACCCGGCAACATGTGTTAGATGCAGACTTATCTCTAATTAGGGATCGAGATAAAGTCCCCCAGGCATGAATCCTGGTGTCTTTTTTACGACGAAAGATTAACCGGCAACGCGTGTTAGGCGTAGACTTATCTCTATTTAGGGATCCAGATAAAGTCCCCCATGCGTGAAGGCATGGATTTTTGGTGTCGTTTCTTCCTGTGTGGCTTGAAACACCGAAAGAAAGTTGGAAGTGCCAGAGGTATAGTATTAACTTGGCACGAATTTTCACCTAAAGTAAAATTCAAAAATTTTCTTTATTATCACTAGGATAATTCTAGAAAATCTTTAATCCGCTGAGGATTTTATAATGAAAACTTGTTATTCTTGTTTCAGAGGTATATTGTTAACGTGACAAATTGGGAGTGATACAAGTTGAATGCATACTCTGTGGGGATGATGATCGTCAGAAGTGTAATGTTAACTTGACGATGTGAAAGATTCGTTACTCTTAATCCAGTGGATTCCAAGTAATCAACCCCCAGTCTTGATTAAGACTTAACAGGGGAATAAAAAGAGGTAGACAAGGCACATCACCTAGTGGGGTACTATCCATGAGATCGGAATAGAGTCACATCACCAGGTAGGCCATTATCTGATGAGTTTGCCTATCAGAGGTAACTGTTAACGTGATAGTTGTTGGACCCACCATCCTATTGAAGAGGATTGACTTCAATGGCCGTAGTATCTTTCCCTTCTGACTGGGAAGAGTGAGCCTGGTCCGGTTGCTCAGGAGAAGATTGGGCTTGGTCTGATTGCTCGGGCTGATCTTGCCTACTTTGTTCTTCAGCTTTGATCCTGACAATGATTTTTTGAGCAGAAGTGTAATGTTAACTCGACGATGTGAAAGATTCGTTACTCTTAATCCAGTGGATTCCAAGTAACCAACCCCCAGTCTTGATGAAGACTTAGCAGGGGAATAAAAAAGAGGTAGACAAGGCACATCACCTAGTGGGGCACTATCCATGAAGTCGGAATAGAATCACATCACCAGGTAGGCCATTATCTGATGAGTTTGACTATCAGAGGTAACTGTTAACGTGATAGTTATTGGACCCGCCATCCTACTGAAGAGGATTGACTCCGGTGGCCGTAGTATCTTCCCCTTCTGACTGATGAGATTGGACTTGGTCCGATTGCTCTGGAGATGATTGGGCTTGGTCTGATTGCTCGGGCTGATCATGCCTACTTTGTTCTTCAGCTTTGATCCTGGCAATGATTTTTTGAGCCTGCTCGCCTTGAGAGATTAGTTGTCTCCAAGAACGGCATTCTGCAACTCCTATTCGGGCTAGGAGGTCGGTTTGCAAGTTGTGTCGACAGGTCTCTACTAAGGTAGATTGTGTCATACCTGACGAACACCGGAGAGCCATGGATCGGAACCTTTTGACATAGGCTTTGACGGACTCCCTCTTCTTCTGCTTAGTAGCAAGAAGGGTATGGATGGAGACTTCTGTATCCTCTTCAAAGAATCTTGACAGGAAGAGTCTCTCTAGATCCGCCCACTTTTGGATACAGCCCGCAGGCAGTTTCCTGAACCATTCAAAGGCAATTCCCTTGAGGGTGCCAATGAACAATCGAGCCAGTATGGCATCGTTTGATATTACATTTCCAGTCTGTGACTTGAAATGATAAATATGTTGGTTCGGTGATCCCGTGCCGTCAAAAGTTTGTAGCGTTGGGACCTCGAACTTTGGAGGATAAGGGGCTGCATCCCATTCGGCAGGATAGGGTCTGATAACTCCCTCATCTTGGAGCTCGCTTCTGTTAGCAATGGCTTTAAGGCGGGCTTCCAATTCTTCCATTTTGGCAGACTGGAGATTCTGCTCATTCTCAGTCTCTCTTCCTTCATCAGAGGAAGATTCCAGGCTGTGGGCTTCTTGGTCAGAAGCCGCATCATCAACCACTTTTCCCTTCCCTTTGCTTGTGTGAGGTCGGGATGAAGGTGCTTTTCCTCTCCGGGAAGATTCTTGCCTAAGCAGCGAATCTGTCTCCTGAGATTTGGCCTTGTCTGTGACGATTTGAGTCAACATGGCCATGGCCTCCTGCTGAGATTTGAGCATGGCCTCCTGTTCATCAAGTCTCTTTGAAAGGTCTTCAGAATGTTCTGCCATGTGGGCGAAGCTCTCATGTCCAACAAAAGAGCTTGATGATTGGGACTCCGCAATGGCTGAGTGTTCGTCATCGGAATTAGTTCCTCTGGCTAAACTCCGATAGTTGACAGGGGGAATGGCTCCTGTTCGAGTCCGAGTATGTTGGTAGATTCCTTCAAACTCGTTAGTGATTTCTCTGACGCTTGGAGAACGATCTGTCTCTGACTCGTCAGAACTAAGGGTTGATGATCTCCCTCTACCAACCATGTTAGAAGTGACTCCAAGGTATTCATCCTCTAAAGTTTTCTTTCTGTGAGGATGTCGTCGATTATTGAGCAAAACGACATTCGTCAGTCGGTTGAACATCGACAGCAATTCCCGCAAGTCAAAGACTTGGGATGAACCTCTCACGGAGCGTGAGGGTAAAAATGGAACCCCCTGTCCGTTAAAGGATGGGACTGGTTCTTGGTAAACATGAATTTTAAATCCATGTTGATCATTTTGAACACGACGAATCACGTTGTGTTCCAAAGAAGGAACACGAGGGTCGTGTTTAGCTTGATTAACGCAAGACCAAAGTCTGCGTTTTGCTAGTGAAACGCAGTCCTGCGATCTGCGTTCGGATTCAGAAACGCACTCCTGAGAGTTGCGTTTAGTTTGTGAAACGCACTCCTGAGAGTTGCGTTTTGGTTCTGGGACGCACTCCTGAGAGTTGCGTTCATCCAGATCAACGCAGGTTTGATGTCTGCGTTTAAATGATAGAACGCACTCCTGAGAGTTGCGTTTGAGTTCTGAAACGCACTCCTGAGAGTTGCGTTCTGCCAAATCAACGCAGTTTTGAGGTCTGCGTTTTGATGTTAGAACACGCCTCTGAAAGCTGTGTTCTATCTGGGAAACGCACACCTGAGGGTTGCGTTTAGCTTGGCTTATGCAGAGCTCATGTTGAGGCTCACAAACGCGGAGTTCGCGTTGATTGGAGGATCGGCTTTGGAGTCGTGCCGAAGTCGACTCTTCTCCTTTAGGGAGGGGACTGTCTTCTCCTTTAGAGAGGGGACTGTATGAACAGTGCAACCCCCATGGGAGATAGTCTTTAGATGAATTGGCTACAACTGGAGCTTTAGTCTCCTCGAAAACTTTGTGGATCTTACGCATAGCCTTGGGGCTAAGGGATCCGGAGGAGATGGCCTCCTCGTACTTGGCTTGATCAAACTCGATAATCAGAGTTTCAACGGTCGTTCCAGTGAGATGAACGTCGGATTGCACCACCACTTCTTCGTCAGAGAAGCTAGTCCTCAGCAGAGTCGCCATCTTTTGCTTGAATTTGGATTCCGATTACAAAAGAGAGGAGAATGAATTTGATTCTCCCCTTTGTTTAATTCTGGGTTCTTCACGGTGGCGATGAGATGCCTCCCTCGAATGCTCGCGTCGAGTTTGCTTCTCGTTGACGATCTGAACGTCTTGATTCACTGGAACGTGGTCTTCTCCTCACGATTTGATGCTGTGGAGAACTTGCGTGGCAAGTTTTGAATATAACTCTTAACGAGTTGATAACTCTGAACGAGTTTTAAAAGAACTTGCAGAGCAAGTTTGAAAATAACTCTTAACGAGTTGATAACTCAGAGCGAGTTTTAGAAGAACTTGCAGAGCAAGTTTTGAACTCTGATCGAGTTGATAACTCTGGACGAGTTTGAACTCTTGAAAAAGAGTTGATTTAAACCGAAAGTTCGGTTAATCAGCCAAGGGAATGCTCCTGTTGTCGATCTCCAAAATCCCAGCCGAAGGATGAAGGCTCTTCTTCTTTGCTACCAAGCTTGTTCTTGACCGAATCTCTCTCTGTTGATGAGAAAAAATTCGATCCCTCAACTCAATTGAGTTTCTGGTATTTATAGGGGATTAAGGGTGGTAACTACCCCCTTAATCCGCTCTTAAGTGGGGCGAAAATCCCTCAAATCGTGGGGGAAAAACAGTTCCTGGAACTGTTCATTGCGTGCTTTGAACAAGTCAAACGCTGAAAAATAGCGTTCAGGGCCCGAACTCTGCGTTTTTAGACTAAAAACGCAGAGTTGGGCCTATCTTGGTGGCTGAACGCACAGGCAGATTCTCTGTGCTAGGGCGTTAGAACGCAGAGCTGAACTCTGCGTTCAGCAGCTTCAATTTCTTCCTGCATTGCTGCCATCCACAAAGATGCATCTGTGCCATTTATAGCTTCATGAAAAGTTGATGGCTCTCCATCTTCTGTTAGAAGACAGTATGCAACATTACTCTCCGTAATATACTCCGAGTGCCAAGTCGGTGGTCTTCTCTCACGAGTTGACCTTCGAACTTCTGGAGCCTCGGCCTCGACTGGTTCTTGTACATCATGCTCCGGTGTCGCTTCAGAAGAATTCGGATTATCTTCTACCTGAACAGCTACAGTCTCTGAGTCCTTCCTCGAACTGCTTTCTTTTTCACCACTTTGTAGTTGATTTTCTACAAAGATAACATCTATGCTGATGATAACCTTATAGGTAGTGGGATCCCACAAGTGATACCCCTTTACTCCATCAGCATACCCCAAGAATATGCATTTTCTGGATTTTGAATCCAGCTTTGTAATTTCTTGGGCATTGTACATTACGTACACTGGACATCCAAATATATGGAGGTTAGAATAATCAGCTGGCTTGCCAGTCCACATCTCCATCGGCGTCTTTAATTGTATTGCAGTTGATGGAGATCGATTCACCACATAACAGGCGGTTTTTACTGCTTCCGCCCAAAAGACTTTTTCCAGATTTGCAGTAGCCAACATAGCTCTTGTTCTTTCCAACAGAGTTCTGTTCATCCGCTCCGCCACTCCATTTTGTTGAGGAGTATAAGCCGTACTGAATTGTCTTTTGATGCCTTCATGCTTGCAGAATGCTAGGAATTCACCGTCTGTGTATTCTCCTCCATTATCTGTTCTCAAGCACTTGATCTTCTTCTCAGATTCAAGCTCGACCCGCGCTTTGTAGGCTTTAAAGACTGAGAACACATCCGCCTTCTTCTTGATAGGATACACCCAACATCTCCTGGAGTAATCATCAATAAAGGACACAAAGTACTTTGCTCCTCCTAAGGATGTAACTGGTGCTTGCCATACATCAGAATGAACCAGTTCCAGAATAGCCTTGCTTCTAGAACTCGATGTGTTGAACTTCAGTCGATGTTGCTTGCTTGTAACACAATGCTCGCAGAATGGAAGAGCTACCGAATTAAGTCCAGGAAGCAGTTTCTGATCGGAGAGAACCTTCAAGCCTCGTTCTGACATGTGGCCTAGCTTGCGATGCCACATCATGGTTTGTTCTTCTCCACGGCTGGTTGATGCCACACATGAATCAGCTTCCTGCAGAGTCTCTCCCTTGAGCATGTACAGATTTGCAGCTATCTTTTCTCCTTTTATCACCACAAGCGCCCCTCTAACAATCTTCATGACTCCATTTTCTATATGAGTCTTGCACCCGAGCTCATCTAATTGTCCCAAAGACAATAGATTCTTCTTCAAGCCCTTCACATGTCGCACATCTTGAATGGTGCGTATTATACCATCAAACATTTTGATTTTGATAGTACCAATACCACAAATCTCTAAGGCATGATCATTCCCCATGAATACAGATCCTCCTGAGATAGGTTCATATTTGTGAAACCAATCTCTCCGAGAGGTCATGTGCCAAGAGGCTGCTGAATCTAGAAGCCAGACATCAGCAAACTTCTTTCTGCCTTCATCAACAGTGGTTGCTCCACTGAATAGAATTTCACCATCCTCTGACGTGCTGACAATGCATCCTTGAGATGTTGATGGCTCTGAAGACTTTTTATCTCCACTCTTCTTGTTGTGCCAACACTCCGATTTGACGTGCCCTCTTTTGCCACAGTTGTAGCATTTGATATTCTTCTTACTTCGTGATTTCGATCTACCATGGGCATGACTCCCACTGGAGCCACGTTCTGTTGATCTTCCTCTCGTCACCGACAAGGCCTCCGCTTGCTGCGAACTTGTCTGCCTGTCTTCCTTGTTCTTGCGCCGATTTTCTTCCTCCAGAACAGCGGCTGGAACATCGTCGAAGACTAGATTGTCCGTGAGGACGTTGTTCGTCAGGTTGATGATGAGTTGATCATACGAGTCAGGTAGACTCTGAAGTAGAAGTTCTGCACGTTCATTCGCACCAACTGTATATCCCAACGTTGTGAGTTGGGAGAACAGTGTGTTTAGGGTGTTGATGTGGTCGGTCATCGATGTAGATTCCGCCATCCTCAGAGTGTAAAGTCTCCTTTTTAAGAAGATTTTATTGTGCATGGATTTCGCCTCATATAGCTTTGTTAGAGTATCCCAGATCTCCTTTGCTGTCTTCTTCTCCTCTATGCTTGACAGCACCCCGTCTGCTAATGCCAGATGGAGATTTGCAATAGCATTTTCGTCCATCTCGTTCCACTTCTTATCATCTGTGATGTCGTCCGGCCTTGCACCAATGGCCGCCAGGCAATTATCTTTTCTCAAGATAGCTTTTATCTTCAACTTCCACATTGAGAAATTACTCCCGTCGAATTTCTCAATCTTGAACTTCGCCGCCATTGCTTCTACCACGAACAGTAACTTCTTACTATTTCACGTAAATAGTACTGTATTTATGAACAGTAATCGTATTTGTGAGAATTTCTCGATCTTGAATTTTGCCGCCATTGCTTCTACCACGAACAGTAACTTCTTACTATTTCACGTAAATAGTACTGTATTTATGAACAGTAATCGTATTTGTGAATAGTACCGTACTTATGAATAGTACCGTATTTGTGAACAGTACCGTGCTCGTGAATAGTACCTGTCACCTTCAAAGGGTAAATGATAACCTAACTTATTTTCTGATGTGGAGGATCCACCTTTGGTGGCAGCCACAGAGCATACGATAAGTAGATATATACAAGTACCCTAAGTTGGCTCTGATACCACTTGTTCGGACAAACCCGGGGCCCAATAGAGCAGGGTCGCAGCAATAGTAAAGCAAAAGTAGAGATAAAATGATAGACACACAGATTTACGTGGTTCGGCACTTGATTGCCTACGTCCACGGGCAAGGATAGAAGAATCTACTATGAGGAGAAAACTCTGGAGTTACAATATCTCTTTATAAGGAGATACTCTCTCTATTTTTTTCTCTCACACTCTTCTATATAAGAAGAAGTTTCTGGGATGATATTTTCTTAAGAATTTGGAGCCCTATTTATAGTTTTTAGAAAAATACTATGCACAATAAAATATTAATATTTTACTGTAGCAGTGGGGCCCACTGTTTTGTTTTCTTCTCAAATTTTCAAAGATGGCTGCTGCTTTTTCTTGATTATCAACATGTGGGCGGCTTGGGCTCTGACACTTGTGTGGTGCTTACGTGTCATCCTTACTTTCAAAATAGTTTTCTAATCCTTAATACTCAGAAGTAGCTCGGAAGTAGTTGAAATGCATATTAATTAGGAAATAAATAATTTTTTTATTAATATTTTCTTTATCGGTTACTTCTAACAGCTTTTCATTGATAAAATTACTTACTAGTAATATTTCCAAATGTTATCCAAACAAAAAAAAGTAAATGAAGAAGAAGAAGTTCTACTTCCATTACTTCTAAAAATATACGAAACAAACAAAAAAATGCTATTTCTACTACTTCCTACTTCATAGTTTTGAAAGTTATTTCTATAACATATTTCTTACTTCTAATACTTCCATTATCCAAACGGTAATACTTTCATTATCCAAACGAGGCCTTAGTTCATTGGAATCTAGATAAAGTTTATTCAGTCGAGTAAGGTTGCTGATGCTAGATGGTATCTCTCCAGATAGCTTGTTATTGCCCAAAGCCAATAGATTCAACTTCCGAAGCATCCCAATGCTTGAAGGATTAGAGCCATAAAAGCTAGTTTCCATCCATATTAAGTACCATAAGGTTTACGAGGTTTCCGATGTCAGAAGATATTTTTCCAGAGATGTAGTTATTATCCATATCAAGATGCTGAAGATTGGTGGAAAGGTTGGCGATGGAATTCAGTAGCATGCCACTAAAATACTTCAAGCAGAGGAAGAGCTTGGCCTATGTTAGGTGGAAGTGACCCAGATAGGTGATAGTTAAATGACATAGATAGCTGGGAAAGAGAAGAGAGACTCCACAGTGAAGATGATACTACTTCGGAGAGGTTGTTACCAAACAGATCAAGTGTTCTTAGTTCAGAAAAGAGATTACCCATGCTCGGTGGAATGCTGCCAGTGAGTTCGTTATTGTACAAGTAAAGTACAGTTAGAGGGGTGAGGTTAGCTGTGCCAGATGGGATGCTTGGCAGAATTTGGGTAAGCCTCCTACAACATGCTCGATGATATTACTCACTCAAACGTTATTCTGAGAATTTCGATATCATTCTCATTGGTATTTTTTGCATTAAATTTACCTTTAAGACCTTTAATCTAATCTTAGGTTTGCCAACTGATTTTGTAGATTAGGTTGTTTGTGTTCCTAATTTTTGACGTTACTTGTCGTGTTGAGAATTATGTTAGTTGATATACATTGTTATTCTATAATTTCACAATATATAGTTTATTTGGTAAAGTAGCTCTTGATATGTTGTTTTTTTAATACGGTTTTTATTCTTAAATAAATTCTGCTAATAGAAGCTCCATCGTCTTGTAAGCAATCAGAATAAACAAGTTTTTGTGCCTAACGAGTGACTAAGTGCTGTCCTTGACGTAACAAAGCGAGGCAGAGACTGTCAATGACTAATTATTAAAAATTAACACCAGAGACATCATCATGAAGCCATTATTAATCCAGATCGATAAAGATACATTAAGATACGTAGGAATAAACAGGACACAAACAAATGTCAGCCATTGGCACTACATAGAAAAGAGTAACGTTTGATGCTATTAGAAGTTAAGTACTTGCACGTAAGTCCACAGATTTGAAAAGCAAAGTTTACATGGTGTCAATGGCTATCGTCATCGAGCTACCAGTCACTTGGAGACTTCACTAAACTGCAGAACTTAAGCGGAAGAAACTATCAATGAACAAAACAATGTTTTGTGAAATTTTAGAACCATATAAATGTTTCATCTTTGAAATAGCCACAAATCATGGGAATTTCCAACAACAATTTGAGGAGTGATATACCAGCTGTTTGATTATGTCATATTAGATTAAACGTGGTAATGACCTTTGGGGCCTAGGTGTCACGCCCCGGGCCCGCGGGCCTGTTGGCGCGTGTAAGCCGTGGGACCCACCGAGTGTAACGCTCTGTTTGGCTCAAATCACTGCCAAAATCGACTAGCCGATGTTACACTTGAGTTTTTAGCTTTCACTATATAAACACCTCAATTTCTCACTCTCCCACCGATGTGGGACTAAATTAGTGGGATGTCACATTTACCCCACCTTACAAAGGCGACGTCCTCGTCGCGGCATGACAATTAGCACATCCCAATATCGCCGCCAGGCGATGTGGACTCTAGAGGTGGCTCCTACGGGCTCTAGAGGTGGAACCCACCGCATCCACACAGTGTAGCGCTTAGCCTCGCATAGCACTTAGCTCCACACTTCCGGCTGACAACTGCTCTGATACCATTTGTCATGCCCCGGGCCCGCGGGCCTGTTGACGCGTGCAAACCGTGGGACCCACCGAGTGTAACGCAGTGTTTGGCTTAAATCACCGCCAAAATCGACTAGCCGATGTTACACTTGAGTCTTTAGCTTTCACTATATAAACACCTTAATTTCTCACTCTCCCACCGATGTGGGACTAAATTAGTGGGATGTCACATTAGGTCAGGTGGTAAATGGTGAGGAGCGCTGGAGGGGGTTGTGAAAAGTCCTAGTATTAGTTCAAATTTACATCCTTTGTTTAAAACGAGTGCTTGAAAGCAAGGAAAGTACTTGGTTTTTGTTATTACAGCATCATTGATACTTTCGATCTATTTAAAGTGCTTGAAAGCAAGGAAAGTACTTGGTTTTTGTTATTACAGCATCATTGATACTTTCGATCTATTTAATTACCCTTAGGCTTTCCAGCAGTGGAAAACATTACTACACGACTATGATTCTAAGCTACAGTTGTGAGCTATGTAAATTACTTGAGAAGAAATAATGTGCTTGGTATTTGGTAATATAGAGCTGTAATTGTACGTACATGTAAAGAACTCAAACGTGGCAATGAAGAAAAATTTAAGCCTCACGCAAGTAAATATCCGAAGAGGGAAAGCAATGGATGCTTTCTCTACAACAACACCTCCATTACAGTCAAACCCTAAATCTGATTGTAGAGATCATTATTTAAAATCTGTAGTCTTATGGAAAAGACTTGGCAGACTCATGATGCTTCAGGTGCAAAAGTCTCCTTAGATACTAGATCATCTGTCGGGC